TATGATTGATAAAAATTTCAAAGGGATTAAATTGATTTGCCTCCTCCCAGCAAGGTTAATAGGCCACACTTATTTACAGCCCGCCAAAGTGTTCCGTTTGCTCTTCAGCCCTTATCTCCCTGGTCCTGTGGACTATATCACAAGATATCTGCGTCAATGACAAATCTCTGTTCGCTGGCTGTTCCGCTGAATACTATTCACAGCTGACTGACAACTCTTTCCTTGTGGGACAGAGAAGAAAAAACACAGAGGGCACGAGACAGAGAGCAGAAGAGAAAGAAATTTTGCAGCAGAGATAAAGGGGAGGTGGAAGAGCCTTGTGCAGCGCCTCCCTTCATGATGATATTTCACCCTGAACAAACAAGCTGAGCCTCACAGAGAGAGGGAAGCATCGATCTACCCAGCTCCAATCATAATACATCCACTTTTACCCAAGTTTACTTTCTGGCATTCCATCAGGACTTTATAAATTATTTTGGGTGACCAATCGATCTGTTGCTTTGCTCCCCTCTTTCTGCTGAGTGAAGGTAAACTTGATAGTGAGCACAGTGTGTGTCTATATGTAAATGTGTGTCTACATGTTTGTGTGTCGTCTGCTTTGGAGGCATCATCTGCCATCTGGCCTCAAAGTACAGGGGCCACATGGCGGGGAAGCAAATGTCACCGGTCAGGCCAGCCACTGCCAAGTACTGACAAATGACGTCAGGAGAAGCCCACACTGCCACTGCCCAAACAAACAACCCTGCCACCCAGTCTGATCCCCTCCTGACCCTTTGCCTCAGTCGCTTGCTTGTGTGGATGGTGATAGTAATCTAGGAATTAAATCTTATGCTTCAGTGACAGTCCCTGTGGACAAGAGATGAATGACTAAATACAAGTAGAATTTATATCTAGGGATTTGCAAGAAATTTAGGAAGTGTGGAGAAAACACTGAAAGCCTGAACTTGTGGATATTTATCACCATTAGTCAGATGATATAAAAAAGACCACAGAAAAGATCCATGTCTGAGCCGGCCGTATTTAAGCCAGTGACATTTAAGTATCAATCAGCTGAAATGGCAATGAATTTCTGAAAAAAATGCCCTGAAACTGTGCTGCCAAACAAATATGATTTCAATGCCGCAGCAGATTAGATCATATTTTTCCTGTCTTGGATGCAGTCCCATGTGCCCTGGCTATAACGGTCAAGCAAATTTATGTGCACCAATGATGAGCAATGAACTCTGAATGTGGTGGTTAATGTCTGATCTGATCCTGAGCTGAACACGACAGCTAACCTCTGTCTTTCTCTCAGCCATTACTCTGCTGCACCAAGGCAGCTGCAACATGAAGGTTTTAACTTGGGGGAAAAAAAGAAAAAAAAAAAAGCTTCATTTCCATTTGCTGCTGCGGATGTGCAGACAGTGTGAACCCGTTAACAACCTTGTGTTCAGATGTACACATAGCATCTGCTCTGCACCTCTGCAGCGAGCTTTGTGTTCAACAGATGAGGCGGGTAAACAGCACAATGTCCTTGGAAAACAATTACTATTTCAATGAGGGTTTTCCAAGCGGGCATCACGCTGTCTTTGGTTTTTAATTACACACCGTGAGATAAATGCACATCTGTATTTTTCTCTGCTGCAAGCCTGAGAGAAATACTACAAGGTTGAGCTGACAAGGCAAGGTATTGGAAGGTATGATTCAGTTTAGTTTCATGGCCTTGCTTTACATTTTCCAGCTGATGTGCCCTTGTGCAGCGATAATTAATCGTGCAGTGGTGCACTGGACTCCAGGAGCCCCGGGCACATGCTGCAGTTTATGTGCGGTAGCTATAGGCACAGGCTCTCACAGTGACAGACACCTCCCTTTCTCTGCTAATCCCTTCCACACCTCTTCACAAAATGACAAAAGCTACTTTCCCTATTGACACAGTGAGAAGGAGCTTGGTGAAAAACAATTAAAAACATGCCAGTGGGTGGAACACTTGTCCTTATCTATTTGTCTCCCATCAAGAATGTACTGTACTGTATGGATTCAATGAGTCAGACCATTTAACAACAAATGTGTTTGCCAGCTGTAACTGCATTAGTCACAAATGCTTCAACATATTTGGATGTGTTTCATGGCAGTGAGGTTACAAACATTAATGCAATTCAAGTGTTGAAATATACAGGCGGTATTTCATGTGCTGTGAACCATACACACCCATTGTAGATTTCTGACAACAGACAGTTGTAAAATTATAGATTAGATAAGACAAGCCACAGAGTCCTCGAGCACAAACATCAGCCCCTCCCTGCACACAGATGTGAACACGTATAAATAGCTTCTCATGAGCGTGTCCTTTTGTACATGCACACAGACACAAACACACCAGCTGCCACATGCAATAAAGAACCAAGAAGACCTTCTCTATTTTACACATCCACAGGGGGTCAATAACTCATTAGTGCTGAGGAAAAGGCAGAGGCGGCTGAGGGAGATGACATGGTGGGAGATGGGCTGTGCCGCTGTGGGCCGTTCACCTGAGGATGTAAGCATGTCATTGTGTCCAGAGGTCATGAGGACGATTCATGACTTCATTAGAAGCGTGTCATAAAACATGCCACGGTGTTTCCAGCCTTGAAATAGGGAACTAAACGTGTAATTTGCCTGTTTTATTCGTCTCTAACCTTTTTTTCTGGGAATTTTTTACTGCTCATCCTATAGACTTTTTATTTATTATCCTTTTATCACTTGTCATGATCTTTGCATCTCGTTGAAATGCTCCATAAAGATAAAGTTTATTACGAGGTTAAACTAGACCAGTGTTCCTCTACAACCACAGTGCAGGGCAGTGGTCTATATGATTGTCTTTAAAGGCGTTGTAAGCATTGAAGCAAATATTTGCAGTGTGGGTGATTTGTTCTGCTCACTTGCTGGTTTAAATTTTGAAAATCACTTTAACAGTTTCAAATATTTTCAGTTTCCCTATCGATGACCCGCATTAAATGACGGCTGCCCCTTTACTTCTTCCTTAACAAGGCGTGGCAAGTTTCCAGTGAAGGGGACTCATCTGTTAAATCATCTCAGTCACTAAGCAGACTAAATATAGAAATACAGAAAACAGGCAGTGGTGTGGGCTACATCAGAGTACGATTGTGGACAGACTGTTCAAGTCAAAGGATCAAATGGGAAAAAAGAGATGGCTGTGAATGTGTGCATGCGTGTGTGTGTAAGAGAGAGAGAGAGAGAGAGAGTGAGAGAGAGCCTTTGTTGGTTTATCAGAGTGACAGTGTGTGTGTTGGTCTTGCGTCCCTGCATCACAACACAGAGTCTATTTAAGGATCTGTTTACAATATATCCTGTTGCACAACCTAATCCCAAAGGCATGCTCCATGTAGCTGGACGGGACAAGGGTCTGATCATGTTTTATTACGACTGCGAGGCAAAACCTTAATGTTAATGAGATTTATGCAACATCCAAACCTGTGACATCCATCTTTGAACTGATGTCCAGGCAAAAAAAACTGCCAAGGATGAGTTGTTCAACCTTGTTAAGGACACATGCTAATTACTTGATCCAAAAAGTAAATCCATAAACACACAGACGATGTAATTAAATCTTCTGCACAGCTCTATGTCAACATCAATCATCTGAAATGACCTTGGAACTTCTTGAAATATAGACAGTGTTCATAAAGTATCAGCATCTTGGATTATGTGTTTCTGACGCAGACACAGAACAATCACAAAACAATACCAGGAAAAATGTCTTTAATAAACCATATTTATCCTTACTTACATATTAACCAAATGTCCATTATGGGCGTTTTAGGGGATATAACATTTTGACCCTATAGATGCAGATTCAGTGTTATGTCCCCTTAAAAATAGATTTTAATGAACGTTTGGTTCATATTTAAGTAAATGATATCTGTAGTTTATTAAAGGGTAAGGTTTTTTTTTAAACAACAGGATAGACAAAGATAAATGGATATATGAGGAACTAAAGATTGAAAATCCCTATTTTCGTTTTGTCATATCCAATGTACAAAGCAAATATTGCATGAAATTCAGAAGATTTCACCGAATGGCTTTTCTTAAATTAAATTGTATTTAAATGAAAAATAACCCCTCTCACTACCTTTTAAATAAAAACACTGTGGCTATCTGTGCTCTGACAAGCTTGCAGCTAGTCTGGCATCCAGCTCAGCTGGGACGCCTGCGCTTGGTGCCATTTGGCAACCACTGGAATATTTAAATGCCCTAATGAATACATAGCCCCTGGGCCTGACTGCTCAAACTGAACACTGAGTGTGCTCTGACATGCTCAGCATACACTAATGGGACTTCTGACAGTCCTGTGCATTCATCCTACAAAAAACTCGGCGTTGCGCCAGAGGGGACCAGAGGCTGGGTGCGAGTGTAGTGCACTGGCTGGAGATCCGGAAGCTAAAAGGCCACAGGTCCGGCTAGTGTCAAATCGGACGTTTCCATCAGCGGCCACTTACACTGTCAAACTGTCCTTGCGCGAGACGCTGAGCCCCTTCCTACTCACTTGTTGCAAATTACAGTACTTTGGATAAGCGCAACAGCTGCAGTAAATTCTGTGAAAGGGAATGAGTCTGGGTTAATGGTCAGAGAGACCATCTATTTTGCAGAAGCTCAGCAGCTGGATGTACTTATACTGACTGAAGCTCGTGAGCTGCTGGAGGCTCGGCTGCTGTCCGTGGTGCTGAAATACAAAGAATTCAAATGTGTGGGAACGTGCTCCGCTTGTCCCCGATGCGTGGATCCGCTGCCAAATATGGTCCACGGCGCGACACATGCTTTCACGGTGGACGCAGCTGCCTCGAGTCCCCCCGGAGATGCCAGCGTTGCGTTATGGAACAACAAGAGACATTTCATTGATTATGGTTATTATGGAAAATGTCAGTAGAGCGGTGCAGTCCGATAATGTTGACCTTTTAAGCTGTGTATCAGAGTGATGCGATTGAAAATAACAATATCGATCAAGATTTGTTGCAGATCTGGAATCCTTACATTTATTTCTTCCACCGAAAGAAAAAAACAACAAAGTCCTTATATTGCAATCAATACATTTTGCAGCATTTTAACACATAAATCAAACAAGGGCATCACTCTCAACTCTGCAGACCGAGTGGACCGCACGTGTCATTTCTCCTTTCAGCGACCAGAGAGAAACTTCAATGGACTTCATGCGTTATTGTCTCAATGCGGACAAAACCTAAACACATTACGACCCTCACAGAAAACAAGGCCCCCCTCTTCAGCTCGCACCGTCATATTAACGACGTTAAGTTGAATAGTGAGGGTCCGCGGTGCGCAACGCAAACGCAAACCTTAACTCGGGTCTTTTGGCGAAGCCGCCTACTTACATTACTCTACCATTACGCATTGATTAGTTCCCAAACGGTGAAGCAGAGGAATTTCTGGGTGCAGATATTGGACCACTCCTCTCTCTCTCTCTGTCTCTCTCTCTCTCTACTGCATATGATTTTCTCTCCTCTCTCCACAGCCTGGCTGATGCTTGGTGCTGAAAAGGAGGGGGGAGGGTGGTCTTGCAGTCGACGAGAGGAACAGGAGTTTATTGAGGAGTATAGCTGCAACGAGAGGGGAAAACGCATGCAACTGAGCGCCGCTGCCTTTTGCGGATGGTAACAAGAGGAAAAGGAAAAAGAAAAAGCGAAGAGAGGATCGCGCCGGGGTTGAATGGCCACTTTCTGCTGAGAAACTGCCGCTTGAATTGTTTAACTTGTTGATGCGACGCTATTGTACCGTTTTCCTCTTTCGCCTGGCTGCAGTGACAGATAGATGGGAGGCGTAATCGCAAGTGTTCTCTACCGAGGATAGGTGTTTTATTTCAACTCTCCGTGGATACAGTTTAAAGAGCAGCCTTTCCTGAGGTGGGTTTTCTTTCACTTCACTATTGGGGGGAGAGAAAAACACACATTCCTGCTTATTGATGGGTGACGGTCTCCAGATCCAATTCATATTCTGCCGCAAAGTAGGCTCTTCCATAACTGAACAGATCCACTGTGGGTATAAGCCTGGAGAGTGATAGGCTACTCAACAGAGCTATGCGCAATATCAGCATAAGTAAATGGGACTGTGTGTTTTCCTATCAGCTCAGGTGCTTCTGCAGCCTATAACCACCGCTTGTCTCTATATCTGCTGCTCTCCCTGCAGATGCAATTCATCTCCGAGCCGTAGCACTGTGATCACCGGAGCGGGGTCGTTTTTGAAACACTAGCACAGGTCAGCATGGCAGCAGGTGTAGCGGCGTGGCTCCCCTTCGCCCGAGCGGCGGCCATAGGATGGATGCCCGTGGCGAGCACCCCGATGCCCATCCCTCCCCAGGAGAGGAAGAAAGCCAAGGACGGACTCATCATCCTCAACGTCAGCGGCACCAAGTTCCAGACGTGGCGGAACACTTTGGAGCGGTACCCGGACACTTTGCTGGGGAGCACGGAGAGGGACTTCTTTTTCCACGAGGAGACGAACGAGTACTTTTTCGACCGCGACCCGGACATCTTCAGACACATACTCAATTTCTACCGTACGGGGAAACTACACTATCCGCGCCAGGAGTGCATATCTGCCTACGACGAGGAGCTCGCCTTCTTCGGCATCATCCCGGAGATCATCGGGGACTGCTGCTATGAGGAGTACAAGGACCGGAGGCGAGAAAACGCGGAGAGGCTCCAGGACGACGAGGAATTAGACATGGGCAATGACGTCACGCCGGTGAACCTGACGTACCGGGAGTTCCTGTGGCGGGCTTTTGAAAACCCCCACACCAGCACCTTAGCTCTGGTCTTCTACTATGTCACCGGCTTCTTCATCGCCATATCGGTCATGGCCAACGTGGTGGAGACGGTTCCGTGCGGGTCTCTGCCCAACAGGTCCAAGGAGGTTTCCTGTGGGGACCGGTACGCGCTGGCCTTCTTTTGTTTGGACACTGCTTGCGTCATGATATTCACCGTCGAGTATCTCCTCCGCCTGATCGCCGCCCCCAGCCGCTACAAGTTCATGAAGAGCGTGATGAGCGTCATCGACGTAGTGGCCATCATGCCTTACTACATCGGCCTGGTCATGACCGACAACGACCAGGTGAGCGGCGCCTTCGTCACGCTCAGAGTCTTCCGGGTCTTTCGGATTTTCAAGTTCTCCCGGCATTCCGCGGGGCTGCGCATCCTGGGCTACACGCTGAAGAGCTGCGCCTCCGAGCTGGGCTTCCTGCTCTTCTCCCTCACCATGGCCATCATCATCTTCGCCACGGTCATGTTTTATGCAGAGAAAGGCTCCACGGCCACCAAGTTCACCAGCATCCCCGCTGCGTTCTGGTACACCATCGTCACCATGACAACACTGGGGTAAGCTGTTAGCTGTTTGAGCTAAACACGCTAAACTCACACTCTCAGTTTTCTCTTCACCTCCACGAAACACCCACTTTTTCTCTTAAACACGAGCCCCCATGTTGCTTCGTTACAATGACAACACGTAGTAATGAACCATTTTTATTCCTCTAATTCCTGAGCAGTGAAATTAGCATGCTGGGCGACACAGAGGCTAATTTGCCCAAATTCTTCCGCCATTGTTTTCAGTGGCTGTGCTGCGGCCACAGGTGTGTGTTTATTGGGCGTTTTATCTGCCCTGGTGGCTGCTCAGCCAATCAGAGGGCAGCATTGGTCGGTTTTGTGTGCACCATTCACTGCCTCTCAATGAGGCCGCACCTCACCAGCACCTCTCATCCGAAGGTTAACCATCCTCCCTGCTTGTTGTTATTGGATGAGCTCTTCTGGAAAGGTCAGCACAATGGAAAAATACATTGTGGACAAACAACAGACAGTGGAGCAGTTTGTGTTTAAAAAAAAATTCCAAATAACAGAAAGGAGAGGAAAGAAAGAATGAGGCTCCTAACTGGACAAGATCCTGCAGGCCAGAGAGGCACGAGTGCAGTGATGACATTAAAAGCAAAGTGTACAGGACACACACACACACACA